TGTAGGTTGTTACACGTAAGCTATCGGTATCGTTCATGTGAAATGCATTTCGAGATTGTTTAAGAATTCCAGCACTGTTAGTTACAAAATATTATTGATAGCTTTGTTTCTTAGGTTCGAGTAATCATTATAATATCCTGGATCATTTTCAATTATGTGAATATATTTTGTCAAACATTTTAGCGGACTTCAGATTTTTCTTGGTTAGTGTTACTGAGATCTCTATGCACTGTGATTTCTATCCCTGCGGAACGTCACACATTTTCACGTAGCACCTGCAGTCGGTGGAACTGTAATTACAATACATTCATTCCGCGCAGACAGGTCCTCCATCGATGGCAAAGACATCATCATAAAGTCGTATTATCGGTTTATTGGCCTCTACGTACTGCATCGTCCCCAGTAGTGGAAGACAGATCATGATTTTGTATTTGTAAATAACAGTTTAAGCGACATGTTTTGGACTGCAAATTAAAAAGCATTGAACAATTGTTCGTACGTAAAAGTACATCGTATTGCATGCATCGTAAGCTCCGTATAAATTTATTAAAAGGAACTTCAACGAAAAAAAATTATAAGTAAATAATTTTCAACCACTGACCCAGATATCTTCTAATTCTGATAAATCGATTATTATAAACCTTATATCTTTCATCTTCCTACTTTACGAGTAACACTCGAATTTAAATGTCGCTGAATATCCATAAACGTCTTATTATTTTCGAAAGTCCGAGAAAGTCCATCTATGGTTCGAAAGGAAAAGGTAAAAGTAAATTTCGAATAGTTCCAAAAGATTACGCGTCGAATACACAGGGGTTATTTGCTTCCTATTCATCCACTGTTTCGTATTCCGCTCACGTATCCGCCAAAAATTCCTGGAAAATCGTGATACGCCGAAAGCTCGAGTCCTTTCGGAGCCTAGAAGCTAAAAATAAAGATGTTTAATTAAATATACATGCTTCTACTGCGGTTTCTCTTCCCGTCGACCACGGGAGGTCTGCCACCGATCCACCTTTACCTTCGGGACAGGAATAAATTCGTTTCTTTATTTTTCGTCGTTCGTCACCTCATTGTGGATCCTCGAGATTCCGCAGTCCGCCCTGTCACCGATCGCAAAAACCCGATGAAATACAAACCACCGTCGCTCCCTTCCGCGTGTCCGATGATCTATGGCGCCGTTAATTAAAGCGACGAGACGCTCGCCGGAGTACAAGGTGGCGTTAATGGGGCGACGTCGAAAAAAAATATACGGTGGCAGCCATTTTACGGAACGACAGTTCCCCTGTGCGGCGAGATTCATGCTAATTCTCCCGATATGCTCTGCTGTAATTGCTAAATTAATGCTCCTTGTTTGTGGAGGAAAGCATTCTAACTACTAGACTCCAGCTGTAGCTTGTAAAAATGTCAAACTTACAAACACGCCAAACAAATATTTTCCAGAAACAAGTGGCCAGTCCAACTACCATCATAATTACCAGTGACCAGATGAATTTGAAAGGTGTTCCTCGGTTAGATGAAACGCGAAATTGGTTCATTGCCGTGGCACCCAGTTAAAGAATAGACATGATCCGTTCTTCCCCCAGATTCTCGTCGGCTGTCAGGAGCCTCTGGTGTATCGGTTCATTAACGAGCACCACTTCACCGTCGTCGTCGACGACGCCGCCACTCGAGCTCCTCGCTTAATTATTCCGTCGCCGGTACACGTGTCTCTGGATCTCGCCGGGGTTTTCCCTGTTCTTTTAATTCCGTTTTATATCGTTCGCCGGGCCACTGGGTTAACGGAGTGTCGTCATTCGTTGTCATTATCGCGAACGATAGGGGACTTGTACGTTTTCATTCCTTCCAATCTTCTGTTGTTAAGAAACGACCTTAGTCCGCGTTTAGTCTCCTAATTTGCTACTAACTCGGCCCATGTGCGTTCGATGGGGGTTCTGATACTGGAATTCTACGGGAGGTTTCAGGTGAAGGTACTTGGGCGTGTGTTGGGATCTCTTGATACCGTTGGAGCGAGGCCAAGACACTCGTCCCTGGTTTATTAACAATGTAGGTAGTATGTTTCAATGGTAGCTTCTAAATATACCATAGGCCTTTTTTTTCCGAGTGAAAATGCATTACGTATACCCGGATTTATGCGGGGCTCTCATCGGGTGGCAATAGCGAGCTCAGCGTTCGTTTCTCAAAGACTCGAGAAGAGTCAACTCTTGAAACCCTTTTTATCATTTTTTGAAGTTAAAGCACGTTGCATGTTTTCTTCTCTGTTGAACATCGTTGAATGATCAAAACAATGTTTGAGCTTCTAGATAAATTCGTATGGCGTTGCAAGTATCGGTTTTTGGTTGTTATCGTGTCTGGAAACTTTTACGATTTAAAAGAAAACATCACGAGAGAGAAAAAGAGACTAATGCCAACAAACCTTCCGAGGAGCTAAAAGGAAAAGATTCCAGACCTTCTCGCAAGCATAAATTCTACAAAGGTTGGAGTTCACTTTGTCGACGCGACTGTAAAGTCGAAACAACCTTCCATTTCATATTTATACGTATGAAAATTCTTTTATAAAAGGTAGATCGCGAGTCAAAGAGTTTACTTCATCCATATCCATTTACGGAACGCAATAAAATACAATATCGCGTAAATGTTTATTTCTTGGAGAAATTACGTCTACGAGAACTCAGCTTTTGCGGTTTATTTTTGTGAACTTTATCGTTTGAGGTTCTCCAGTTTCCTCCTTTGTTGTGCGTTTCCGTTGAATAGGGATTTATATGAACGTTTGTATCCTTTTGTCGATGACGCCATTCGTATTTAAAGGAATCTTCCTCAAACAAGCTAAGTTAAATAAAATTGAAGTTAGAAAGTACAAGAAAAAATTATTTTATATAAAAGAACAAATTGAGTGAAAGTTCGAAAAACTTATGTAGACTCGAACTTTGATGCCAAGTGAGAAGTTGTGTTCGTTTCCATTCGGCATTACTATCGTGGGCATGGATACGGGTGTCCTTTATGCATCGACAATTCTAACAACACAAGCCACTCCTTTGATATAAAGGCTCAGTCGTGTCCAATATATTTCTATCAAAGCACAGTTGCCCGTGTGACAACATCGGAAGTCAGTGTTGCGTGAATTCTACATATCGGGCGTCGCGTAAAAAAAGGAGATTTCTAGTGATTAGGTTCGCTGGAGATTTCAACGCTTCGCGATCATAACCAGACCTCCGAACAGAGGTGGTCAAAATTCTTATTCCGATGAAGATCACTCGGATAATGAATTAAAGATATTTTAGATAATTAGATAATTTTCCAAGGAAAACATAAACTAAGAGGTCGAATAGTTAAGATGAATAGGTTTAGATGAAATCACGTACTCCATTAATTAAAATAATTGGTAGCAGGTGTATTGGACATGTACAACGACCTTGTCAGACAGAAATCGAAAATCGCGGACACGATTATGCTAGTAGGTAGGCGTTACGCAAGATCAACATTCTCGATCGTGATTCAAGATCAACAGCCGCCGCGATACGCCTACGCTCGCCTCTCGCCTAGGGATGCAAATGCGTGTCACACTTTTCCACTGAATTCCTCGTGTTCTACTGACCTCGGGACGTGAGAAATTGTTTGCTCGATGTGGAAAAGCGTTGGTCACATAGGTGCAGGGATTCTCAATTGAGGTCATATCCTCCAGGACAAAACGGACAAAATTTTCAGAAAATGTTTGCATTACCGAAATGCTATATTCATACGGTGTATAAGTAAAAATTTAATGTTTAGTTCAAGAGGTGGTTACGGGTCAGAAAAGGTTGAGAAACACTGCTATCGACGCGTCATTTTACGACAGATTCGTTCGCCCATTGTATTCTCCCGGGTCTTTTAAAAAAATGAGAAAAATGTATTTCTTTCATGCATGATAAAAAAGATGGATTGGACCACACAATAGAAGGACTTGGAATGAAGTCTGTATGTCAAAGTCCTTGCTGGATAATCGTAAATATACGAGTAGGTTCAGACATTTTTTATGCGATAGTTCTCGATTAATTTAAGGTTGATAGGTTCAACTGACGGTCTCGGTAAATAATAAAATATGTGTAAAGGATTCTCTCCGGAAGATTAAGATTAAAACGAATTTAAAATATACGTAGTAATAAAATTTGCACCCAAGATTCTAAATCAGAATCAAAATTCTTTCGAGAACGTTGACGACGAGTTTCCGTTAATATTTACATTCTAGCAAACTTGCTATGAAAAAAAAGATATCAAAGATGAGTTTTAATATCACTCATGTTTGGAAGGGAGAGCGCAAAAGAAAGAAAAAAACTGCGAGAACTTTTTATTCATAAAGCTGGACCTCACGCTAAAGCTGGTACTTACGCTAAATAAGTTCTTTGTGCACAATAGCTTTTTCCGCGGGAAGTTTTCAACATCCTTTGAGGGCTTGCTTTTTCCACGGGAGATCGCATTAACGAAACAGGTTTCGACGAACCCAATTTTCCGGCGGCGTGCTATCGTTCCCCCTTGGAAGTCTCAGGAGATGAACCCTTATTGTTTTGCTCGAAACAACGCCCAACATTTCGAATCGTTTTTGCGCTAATCTCGCGCCTTTCGTTCACGAGATCACGTATCTCTCCCACCCGTAGACATTATACCTCGCGCAAAGGGGGTTGCTATTTGCTCTCGCTCCTATCGTTATCGGTTCTACTTTCATCCCACGGTATTTCTACCTCCATTTTTCCTTGTTTTTTTTTTCATTTTATCTCGCATTAGGTATTTGCAGGCGAAAACGATACATAGAGGGTTTCATAGGAGCATTCAGCATCGCTGTCAGTGATACTTTTAGAACTTACAATTCTAAAAAAATATTTGTTTGTGCGTGTCTCCAAATTAAACAGATTTCTTAAGGATCTGTGCGATCTTTACACATGTATACTTGCTCTGATTTATATTCCTACGTCCTCATCTGAATCTGAAACTGCTGTTTTGTATTCGTGGAATAAATAGGACACGATTCAGCGCATGTAGGTTTATTGATACTTGACATTGTTGCATACAGGACTGATAAGCTTTTATGCCACAACTGTATGTAAAACTGTGTTGCCAGCAGAAATGAAAAGAAAATAAAGGAAAGCGTGAGAATAAAACGGGTATGTTGACATCCTTCGACGCGAGATACATTCATACAGACTCGCAACCCCAATCCAGTTGGAAGTATTTTATGCGCGGGATTAAACAACCCTTTGGCGGGAGTATCAGTTATCATAAGTTCTGTAGGCGTTCCCATGTCGCCGTGTTAATGCGATTGTACAAGAAAAATACGATTTAGTTCAGTCTTTCGTAAACATACATTATACGTTATCTCCTTGCACCAGAATCATGAATATACATAGTATATAATTCAACAGTCTCCTTAAATGCACAAGTTTCTCTACGATAAATGGAGATGAAGATAAATTATTATTACCGTTTTTGTATTATGTTTTAGGAATGAAAAATGTCATTCAAAACTTAAAACCAAATTGTTACTTTAGTAATCATATTTATATTTCTGGTATAAGAGGGGTGGATAATTTAATGAAGTATTCTATGGGTAAGATATGCCTCTTATCAGGCTTGAGCATGTATTTTTATTATTCTCAATCTTCTAGCAACATTTGAATTACCTAATTCTTGATTGTACGAGTTTTGCTTCTAAAAAAGCCCCCAAGAAGGGAAAACTGGAAAGTAACTAGTGAAGTCTACCCTACGTATGAAATAATTTCGATCGAGCTATTTACTTTTCCTAAATTAAAATATCTCCTCTTCCCCATACGATAGCTGTACGTCGATATCCCCCAGACGTTGACGAATTTCCTCCAGAACCTCAAGTTGAATCTGGTCGACGTCTTCGGGAGGACAGTATTCGTCCTCGCTGGATCTTGCGATGGTGACGATGGTTGGCGTAGCAGGAAGGGCTGCCAGGAAGGACCAGAAAGTACCACCGATCAACCGATCGAGATCCTTTCTCGTGGTGACGTGGTCTGGTAGATCCGTGTCATCCCTGGTACAGCCTGCGTCGTGTACCAACTTCCAGTCGATCTCCGACTCCTTGTAAACCCTGGTCACTTCGTGAAAAATCAGTTCCACTGCTTCGTATCTGGCAGACTTCTCGCCCTGATATCCCTGAAGACTTCTGTGCTCCTCCAAGTACCCGAATAAGTTTTCCAGCTCGGCGAGTTGCTCGTTCCTCGCAGTGGTCGCGTCCTTTAGGGCCTTGGGTTCCGTCGAGTCGGGTCGCTTGAAAGCGTACAAGGACGCCAGTTTGTCATAGAGGTTCACGCGATCGTAGATCGTTTTGAAAGGATTCCTAGTGCTGAAGAAGTCCAGATCGACGTCCAGAATGTAGGGGGTGTCTCTCTCGGGTAGATACTGACGTAGAGCGGAGCTGATCGCCGTGAAATCGTCCCTCGTCCCTGGATCCTCGATGAATTTGCCTATAGTCATCACGTGTAGGGTGACCTCTCGCGCGTTATCCAGCTCGTCAGCCATGGCGTACAGTCCCTCGCTGACGAAGTAGGGCTCGGTGCACGTGAGCCTTATCTGACCGTTTTCCTTGTGCTTACCAATGAGAAAGGTCGTCACTCCATCGGCCATCTGATTCGCCCACGGTGGTTTCACCCAGATCAAGTGCTTTAAGTGACCCGCGTAAGCCGCCGGTAGGATCCAGTTCTCGATACTGATCTCATCGAACAGCTCATTTTTGTTCCACACCGTGTCCGCTGGCATGGATTTCGGTACGAGCATGTCGGGATGAGAGTCCAAGTGCACGATCGTGTTTCCCTCGAATGGAAGATGCTTCGAGCCCAGACAGCGGTAAATAAATGGCAAGACATCGTCGTGGTTTTCCACTACGTGCACTGGGACCCTTTTGAAGTGCTTCCTGGAGAACGGCATATTTCCTCCGCGCGCTACGACGTCTATTCAAGGGCGAACGTAGTTTGCGGACTCCTATTTACTCGAGTGGCTTGCATTTGGATTGCCTAGATTGCAAAATTATCCTTGTTCAAAATATGCTATGAAATATATAAAAAGTATGAAACGAATAAAATATTGTTAATTGTTCTCAAATATATGACAATCACTATATTGCATCATAATTGATTGTGCTTTAAATCAAATGTAAGTTTAAATTAGAATTCACAAAGGTATTAATCCATATTTCGTCGGAGAACGGTTTAAACAAGTTTTTTAATAAACCCTGAAGACCGCCTTCATTCTCATGCGAAAATTTCGAAATAAATAAATCACATAAGGGATTTGCTGTCACAATTGATAAGGAGTTTATTTATTCTTGAGTTATATTTTGTAAGTTGCATACTTATATTTAATGCTTCGATGTGCATAACACGGTACGACGTTTTATTAACCACGTGAACAGCTTACCTTGTTGGTTAGATGAGGTTATTCGCAGTCTTCCTTGTCTAGCAGACTAGTTCTTGTTCCTATACACATAATCATACTAGAGTGTAGTCCCAGACCCATAACCCATCGTTGTTGGTGTGTTCTAGCGATAAATACAACACTATTCAACAGATTTGGTAACTCTGCTGCTACTTTACACTCCTACGTACAGAAACGATACACTTCCACGCTGGTCGAGTGTACAACTGTGCCGCCTGTCGGAGTAAAATGAAAGTAAAGCATAGAGCGCGGTATATTCGAACGAAACTCTGCAAGATCGTTTAGAAAGGCCGTAGTATTCGCAAACAATTGCACCCCTTTGCGTCATAAAACAGCACGAACGTGCACTAAGCACTCTTACAATTCGTTACAACTTTCAACTAACACGAATTTCTACTTCTGCCAGTAGAAGGTTGCAAACTTTATACATGTAACGCTACGACTCTGCGTATTAGACTTTTTTGAACTATTTTGACGTAGTAAGTTCCATCGGTGCAACGAAGCACTCATTCCTAGCAAAGTACTTATTAACTAAAGCTGGGAATTAATACTTTCTTCTGTCTAATTATTGAGTGCAATGGGCAAACAATTTCTTGAAGGTGAAACTATAGTAAAAAACAAAATGTATGTTTCCACGATCCTTTAATCTGATACACTTTCAAAGGAAATTAACATGAAAACGTTGTGTTTCAGATTGGAATCGTTGATATTCGCTGCGTTTTGTGCAACGTACGTCAACGCGGATTTCTTCGGTGAGAAGAAAGGTAAGTGTCAATTCATTCAACGATAATGGTCGGACTCGTGGTGGTGATTCGAAGTCTCGAGGATCATTTGTCCTCCCTTGCTCTACCAGACGTCTCTCACTATGACGATTCTGGCTACGAAATTCCCAAGAGGATCCTTCATCCGCCGAGGACACCTCGAGAATAATCAGCACGCTTTTTACCAATCTTTTTCCACGATGTTCTTATGTTCTTCGTTTTACGCGACCAGCGATTCACTGCAAATTTGTCTTATTTATTACGATTCACTGGTTCGTTCAACTGGAGTTAAAGTATGGATACCTCGTGTTCTATATCAACGAGGTCCTCGAATTCACGTATACGGCAAATTGTTCTCTGTTCAGTATGGGAAGTACAGTGATTCTTTTCAAGAGCATGGACATCTTTCTTAGTTAAGGCGGGTCACTCTCAGAAATAAATCGACCGATTTCTATAAAGCGCCTCATTGGAGCGGATGTAACTCGAACACTGAATTATTCTTTTCTTTTGTCGCTCTTGGTTATTTATATTTTTCTACGAATTCTACGTATGCCTTGTTTTGTAGTGCTTTATTTACATATTGGACCACTTTTACTATGAAACATCATACAAACAATATATAATACATTTGTGTCTCATTCGCGATTTTACGAAAATCTTACTGGTTCCACGGTCCGTTAAAAATTGCTCGAATAAGAACTCTTACCTCTCAATGGCGCAGTCAACCAGGGAATTTTCGCGAAGCACGTGCAGCTATTATTTAAATTATTCGTGTAATATCGTAGGAACTTTACGAGGGATGAGGAAAATTTTTAATAAAAATTTTAACAGAGCAAAAGTAGAGGCAACGCGGTTGTAAAAATTTCAATGGCACGTTTATCGTCTGTAAAAATTTCTTTGAAATGATAAGCAGCGAATAAATGGGAACTTGCGTTTCGTTTGTGCGTAATAAATTCATGTTTAGCGAGTGCCTTTTTTCGCTTTCGGTTAAATAAGGCGATATTGGACCTAATGCGAGTCGGCTCCCAAAGAGAAAGATTCATAAAGAAGGATTTAATAAAATCTTCCGTTGAGCCGCAGTTACAAAGTATTAATGTCTTGAAATGGCTTTATGATCATCAGCATATCTTTATTTCCTTCTTAAAGGATTTCATAACGCCGGGAAGTCGTTTCTCAGATTCAGCAGATATTTCATCCCGGCATCTCGTTTTTATGCGAAGTCTAATCTCGCCTTTCCGCGCTCTGTGCCATCCGATCTGTCGTTATAAAGTCAGGAAACTCGCATTAAAAATCCTGCGTCAAAGGAAGTTTAAATGTTACAAAGATTTGCATACGTTCAACCATCACCGTCATGATTTTTTTTCTTCTGCCTTTTGTGATCATTAATACGTAGACACAAAATCGCCAATATTTTCGCGAAGAGTATACTCGTAGAAAGCAGCTTAGGTAATAATGCCCGTACGTTTCGCGCTAAGAAGACAATTCCGCGTCGATATTGAGCGATCAGGGGCGCAAAAACGTCGCGTTATCCGGAAGAACGAAAGATTCAGCCGCTTGGCGAGTTTCCGGTTCTCTTATCAGAGGCGGATGCAAAGAGGGAATGTGGGCTGCGCTGGTGGGATACGGTGGAGGAAAACGGGGTGGAAGGGGACGAATAGCTCCCGCAGGATGCGAGATAACTCTCATCCCCGTAGCCTCATTTGTATCCGTTTCTCCCCCTTCCGATTTCCGTGGCGAACGGTAACTTTTTTGCGTTGCTGCATCGTCAATACTTAATAGTATGTCATCGGTCTGTCGCGATTCCTGGATGAAGTTGAACTCTTCTTTCGTTCGGTTTGTCGTCCATTGTAATTGCGTATTTCTAACAGAGTCTCGAGCCTTTTAATATCAAACGTGGTTAAGGCTACGTCGATTTCTATTTGTATTCGTAGTTGATTCAAAGCTAATCTTGGAACACTAGCGACTATTAACAATTTTAATCTGTAAAATGATATTTTGCGTAAAAAAAATACTTATTCAAGTGTGGATGCTTGAATTTCAAACGAAATATTTCTATCATTGATTATTTCACAATGGGTGATCAAAGTTGCTACTTTTAATTTAACGTTTGCCCAAAAGTGTCTCGCAATTGAAAATAGAGAAAACGCAGACAATCTAATCTCTCGGTTAGAACTCCACGAGTCGCACAAATAGAGTTTCCAAGTGCTTCGAAGGCTAAGCGTTTAAAAACGCTTCACCGTACTTTCATTTACCCTTGAAACTGTTTCGCGCAAGGAAATTTACTTTCCGAGAAGTTCGTGAGAGGTGAAATATTACGAATTTGCATCGAGAGTTTTTCAGGTTAAACGACAGTTCTTCGAGGGTCTCCGATGGTTCCGACTGTAAAGAAGATCCTTATTTTCTGTTCGCTGGTACCGTACGCCAGGACGATTCCACCCTTCTTTCGTACCGCCATCGTCTTCCCACGTTTCTACGTTCGAGAGGAGCACCCTATTAGAGAAACAGTTCGGAATCGAGATACGCGTACCTTCTACAAAGAGAAATATTTGCCGACACGAGACGGCACTAGACGTTATTCCATCGAATCGCCTCGGTTCTTCGTGAGAAACTTACTACTCGTTTAGATGAGATTTTGTTTTAAATAAAGGTGGAGGTAATTATTTGTTTTCTGGCTGGAGGCGACTCCGGGATATCAATGTCACCTTCATTTTTTTTCGATGACTTATTTTGAAACGTTTGTAAAACGTTTGACATTTTCGCACTAAAAATTTCTTTCGGTGTTGATTCTATAGGAAACTCTGCTTCTACCTTCAACGGCAAGATAAGTAGAAGAAAAATATTGGGATTAACGTTTTGGAAAATTGAGAGACGCCGGATGCGGGCGATACGCGTTAAGGCCGCTTGATAGTGTAATTCTTTAAAAACAGATGAGACGTCGATTCGATTAAAATTTATGAGGCGGCGACGGTTAGAAATCTGAAACGAGCTACGAGAGATAGCTTGTTTTCGACAACGTGGAGGGGAATATCCGGCGATATCCGCGAGTGTGCACCAAAATGGCCCTCGAAGATGGGATTTCTTAGAATTATAATCCTATTGATGCTCCTGCGAAGAAATTCGCTTGATATTGGGTGAATTATTCTTGCATAATTTTAGATACACATTCATGAAATGCAAACAAATCTGCTTCTAATATTATATAACAACAAACTACACGGAGAAATAATACTTATCTAACGGACACTTTTAGAACGCTTAATCCTAACCCATTTGGACTCGCGAGAACGCGTAAAATGCGAGCGCGTGACGTGATTCTGTGTCAGATTCTAAAAATCACAGCGGTATTTCCGTCTCGCGTCGGGAACACACCGTGGTTAATTAATACGCGAGGTCTGACGTGTCGAAAGATTCCGCTGTCGGCGGTTTGAATAAAAATAACTGGCCAAACGAGAAAGAAGAAAACACTCACGTAAGGGCGGCACGATGAAACGTTTATGACATGGCTTGCAAGGATCCTCGAATTTCTTTTTTTTATGGACGCCGGATGTAGGCGTCGATCGAAGCTCTTCCATACTTTGTAATCGTAGCGGGGATCCGATAATTCGGCCTGACTCATCGATCAGTCGTGACTCGAGCTGAATTTACATGCGGCGCGTGTTGGCTAATCGATTCGTCTCGTGGATTTCTGTTGCATTCTAATTGGCGAAACCACGATGACACGTTCCCGATTCCGACGTGTTAAGATAGCTTTATCGTTCGTCGTGGTTATGTTTCTTGTACGTGGTGTAAACTTCCTTGATCCCTCGAGGCATTCGGGGTGTAATGTATGGAGTCATTAGATTTTGGAGATGTTGGGATCCAGGTGAGAAATTTGGAGACCGATTTGTACACTTACAAATACGTGCGAAATGGAACGTGACAAATGGAATTATTTTTGCGGTCTTGGATCATGGTGACGAGGCATGCATGTCTCATCAGTTATACATAGGCATGGTGCGCGTATTTCGTTTGAGACACAAATAGATCGTCACTGGAGCAAGTACAATCGAGAGTTATGGAAAGATGTTTCATATTTTTTAATACTGAGAACAGTAAATAGAATAACCCTTCAGGATAACATTAACTAATATCCCATAGTAATATTCCAAAAACTATGCGCACTAGTCGAATAAATTTCCAACGCATGACAAAATAGAGATTACTAAAACAAAAGTGAAAATACCGAAAGTTTCCACACATTCATCAGTCACTATCGGACAGCTAATAACGTGCGCTCCACAAAAATCGTAGAAATCACTCTCGAAGAAGCCTGGAGCACGTTAGCAGATGAGCTGGTTGATAAACCGCAGGATTAACCGTGCGAGAGACAAGGAGGTCGTGGCTTATTTCGTACGTGGAACAAGTAGGCGATATATTATAAGATGGGTTAACCGTGGATGGTAACACT